CATGTTTATGCAAACTTTAAATTGACAACAAAAGACTCAGGACTTATGTGGTTCAATTATAGAATTATCCATAGAATATTAGGTACTAATAAGAACCTATATCTGTCAAAAATAAAAAATTCACCACTTTGTTCAATATGTAACTTAGAACCAGAATCAATCAAGCATTTATTTTTCTACTGTCCACAGGTTTCTGTGATTTGGTTAGCATTGTCAGATTGGATATTTCAAATGTCTGGTACAAGAATTGTATTTGATGTCAAAACTGGTAATTTGGAAGTAGATCATATGGCAATTAATTTGATTATCCTTCTAGTGAAGAAATACTTATTTCAACAATCAAGAAAGAACAATAATATTGTTTTAAATAAAATCTTAAAATATTTGAATAATTAATTGTTTAGAAGAAAAATTGTCAGGAAATATATTTTATAAAAATAGATGGTCCAAGTGGAAATGTCTTTTTAATGTGTCCAAAAATAACTCTTAATATAATTACTGATTGAATATGCATCGCATATTGCGTAAGTTTATGTTTATGTATATTACTACGTATATTGAAGTGTATCTATCCTTGTGTATGTATACTAGATGTTTATAAATGTGTGTATATGTATTTTTCCAACAGGTATGAGAGTGGGAGAGAAAGGTGTATATGTCTTGAAATTACTTAAATAAAAAACAAAAACAAAACAAAAACAAAAACAAAACAAAAACAAAATTATATTGTCTTTACTTTTCATATCTCAATTACTATTTTTTTTCTTCCGACGATTAAAAAAATTATCATTTTCATTAATTACAAGTTTTTGGCTTTATTGGTATTAAAGGGAATTAATAAACCAGACTCGTATTCTTATGTTTCCATGTTTATTTCAGTACAGAATAAATCACATCATCATGAAATACATGTACTGTACCTACATGTAGTATGAAGATTAATTTAGAAGAAAATAAACCATATATATACGTAACATTCTTCAACAGTGAATCATATACATATTTCAAATGGAATATAAACCATATTATCATGCCATTTCATCAATAATATGTAATTATGAAAAAAAAAATCTTTAATTATGAGGGATGGAGGCCGTGTTTGAGCCTCGACTTGGTGAAATGTCAACACGTGTAATATCATTTAAATAGAGAATTTAATTCCGTAAATATATAATTATCAATATTTGTTCTTTACTTTTATCGAATTCTGAAATAAAAAAATTATCAATTAATTAATTCTTTGACATTGTGTTTCTTTATTGACAAGCAAGTTGATGAAACAAGAATATCAACAGTCTCGTTTAAAGTCATCATTTCGTAAATTCTATGGTCGATACAATGCCTTTGTCAGCAAATACAATTTATCATTGAGTCAAATGCTGACTGACGTTTTTCATACCAACTGGTAGTCTATTATTTATACACTGAATTGACGACGGATTTTTTCCGTTATTTCCTGATCATGACAACGAGCACACGGCGGGTGTGACCGGTCGGCAGGGGATGCTCACTCCTCCATGGCACCTGATCCCACCTCTGATGTTTCAGAGGTCCGTGTTTGCTCTGCTCTTGTTTTGTATATTGTTTAATGGACGTTGAGATTGAATACTGTTCGTTATCTCCATATCCTTCTTAAATGTTAGACTTTCGTAATCCCGGCAATACGGCTGCAAATCGTGTGCTTTTTCATTCACATTTACCCAATATATCATAAAGGAATAAAGTAAAAAGTTGAAGTAAGCAGTTTTAGAAAAATAAATATTCTCTCCTCACACAAAATTAACGTAATTAGAATCTGCCGGAAAATCAAGGGTCGTACAAGTTAGCTCTGTTTATCTCTGTTTACTTGTATCACGTGAATTCTAAAATGGCACGTGCATACAATGTAGGGTTTACAATTATAATGGGATATTAGGTAAAAGCAATTCTCAGAATTAAAATATCATAACTATCTGGTAAATTAATGATAGTTAACATTTTAGTCTGCATTCAGATGAATTTAACATGATTAAGTACAAATGTTGACGTTTTGTGTATTGGGGTGCAGGAAAGGAAAATCCACCAAATCATACGTCATCGCGGCAAAATGTCAAACATTATACCTTTCTGTAGTTCCAAGAAAATTTTCCTTTCAAATGGCAATAAATTTTATATGCCATAAATTTATTTTAACGTTGAGTTTACACTATTTTTTTTTTCTTTGAAAGCCATGGAGAGACGAGAAATGATACCATGTGTATCAACAAACCTGTAGGGTAAAACCTTTGCGAGCCCCACGTGAGTGTCGCAGTGATCCCGTTTCTTCTTCCGCCAATGATTATATTAATTTCCCAACTAAATTTTTGTCAGGAAAGTTGCTTTTTAATTTCAAGCCCTATTTTTGGTTTCGTTTTTTATTTTGATCAACTTTGTCAATGTAGCAGATTTCTTATATTACTGCGTTAAAACGCTTCATTGAAATGATTTTTAATTAGTTTTTTTTCAATATTTTCTTATTACTAATTTACATATTTTTACAAGTTTGAAATGTACGTTACCTACTCATATTCTGAGGCAATCGTGTCTCTATAGTAGTGATTGTGACATATAACACAACGTTCATTTCACATATTATTGGGGAGTCCCCTCCACTTCAGTTCATTACCATTCTTTTGTGCTGTTTCGCTGAAATTGACACCGGTCGTAGCCTAGTTACTTCTACATGTGTGCAAGGGTACAGACAAAAACAAATAGTTCAGTTCAGTTCAGTTCTTTATTCCGTGGGACGGACATCCCATAAGCATCATAAGTATAACATTGTATTTATCAATTACATACATAGTACAATAACATGTTATAAACTTACCAACTAGTAATACATACATTTTATTATATAGCTAATTGATTTAAACATTCCATTCGTAATTTATTAGCATGATATATATATTTCCCTAACTGATTTACATCTTTGGTATTTGTACTACAGAATACTTGTATTAACTTGAAGACACTTGAGTCAGACATATTTAGCTATGATCCAACACATGCTCGTGTTTGGCCATTGAAACTTAACATACTCAGTAAATGATCAAAATCTATTCCGAAAATATCACGCATCTCTTCAAAAACAGACTAATTTATCGATGTCTGCATATTCCATGATTCTCCACGCTTTAGATAGTGATAATTAAAATATCATAACTCTCCGGTAAATTAATAATAGTTAACATTAAAATTTTCCTATAGGATTTGGAATTTTTGTCATACTCATAAATGTATACACTTTCAGAAAATTACAAATTTTATAAGTAAATAATTCTGATTATTTCATTAAAATTAATAATTATTTATGGTACATAAATATATACATCGCAACGTGTTCGAGGTTCCACATTCCATGCTATACACGCACATGACGCGTATAGTTTTCATAAACAAAACAGGATAACTTCAGCATGTTCTATGTATACGGTTACACTAAACAAACAATTTCAATAAAAGGTATAGCTAGATAATGTACTGAATTTTTCCCTTTCTCACCGTGACGTCATAATCAGATGTGCACAAGAAAGTCGCCCAAATCATATAAATTGCGTACCCAGTTTTCATGACGTCAGCAAGCCCGCGACCTACGTTAAGATGAGATATTCCAATTGTGATTTTAATGACTACATTTTTTTGACATATCTTTTTGGACATTGAAGAAAGAGTAACGTACATTTCAAGCTACATTTCTGAATAAAATCACCCTCTACTTTACCGTCTTGTCATTATTCCATGTATTAAAATTTGATGAAAAAAAACTGGAAACAAAATCTTCAGATACATTCTTTCAAAGGTAATTGATAGAAAAATTGTTATCTTGAACTTCGTTTTTTTTTTTAAAATCAGAGAGGCATTTGTGCCCTTATATTGAGAATGGGTGTCAAGTCCTCTGATATATCAACGTTAGTTTTACGCTCAACAGGATCTAGGTTTAGGGGTTTGACTCATTAGCATATCTAATTAAATGGTACATGGTTGATCCATCCAACATTTTTACAAAAATCCAATTATAGTATCCACGACATGTTGAGCACCAGTGCCATTATTGTCGATAGCCCACGGGTGATTCACATCGATTCTCTCTGATATGGGGGACTCAAACTGTGATTGGGACGATGCATGCCAGGTACCACAGAATACGTAACACGTTATGTCATACAAGTAGGAAGGAGTCACGAAGGTAAGGATTCACCTTCATTAGTTGTAATGTAGGACGGCTCTGTCCACTTAATTATTTAACAATAAAAAATAGAAGAAAGAACACGTGAATAGTATATTTTATTTATCTTACAAACAAAATTAAATAATCAACAAAAAATATATTATTTAAAAATGGTCATGAAACAGGTCGAGGGAACTACCTTATATGGATATTGTTGCGATTGCGCACAGAGGTGCTCACAGCAAACAATAGTCCAATCCAGTGAATGAGCCGATAAGCATGATGGTCTACTACATGTTTATTTTTACTACAAACACGTGGGTCAGGGAAATTTAGGACGCGATTTCAAATGATTGCAGGAAAGTCAGCTAACATTTTTTTTGAAATATGTTTATGAAAAATACAAAGATTAGGTACTAATAAAGATTCTCCATGCTCACATTAACAAACAAAGTCAGTTTTCCTTTTTAAATTGTACTTTGAAATACCGCTCATAAAGTCTTCACAGGTAAATAAGATTCGAGCTATATAACTCGATATTCGTTAATCTGCCATGTAACTGGTTAAATTAGTTGTTACTCAGTTATTTGTTACTAGAAATTCAAAGTATCATTTTATAAACAAAGAAAAAACACAAAAAGCCACTTAAGTTTCAGTTTTTTAATTTACCTGTCATATAAATCCATTTGCATATTGATCATAAAACGTGAATAGCATGTATTTCGAAGTTGTATACGTTGTAAACATGGACAATACGTGAGCACACCTCAGAGTTGATTGTTTTTGGACCAAGGAATAGTCACGTGAAATTGACTTTTCACTGAAAGCACAGCGCGGGGGAAAACTGTCAACAAACGCATTTGTACAATGGAGTGGAGAAACCCCTAATTTTAATCATTGTAAATCATTTATATATAAATGTGAGCATGGAATTAGTAGATAATGATGTTCATAGCGTATTAGGTGTTTAAAATGCTTGGAAAAATGCATCACGTTTTTCCGAGAGTGATTTAAAATATTTGCTTTTTCAAAACACACGTGTGGTATTTTTGTAGTAGCCCATAATGCAACTCTTTGAGCTGATTGGTCGATTTGTCAGTCACGTTGGTTCCCCACTTAACATGTAAATTTATTCCGACGTCACAGAAAATAGTTTCCTCGACCTGTGAAAGTATAATAAACAAAAACTTCCATGCTATTTTATTTTTGAAACATATCACATATATTCGTTTAAAAACAAAACTATAAAGGAAAAAGTTAAACAATAATTTACCAATGTGAATTTTATGTGGATCATCTTTTTAAAATTGCCACATCTATTCAATAACAAGAGTCGATATACAATGTACTGTAGTATATTGTTAATATTTAGCGAGAAATGATCATTTATTACGGGTGAATGTACAACCATGAAAACAGTTCAGCTTTTACTCCGCATCATTAGATGAAGACAAGTGTTTTATCTTGATATATATCCTGATATATATCTTGAAGCTTCCAAAACAAAGATTTTATTAAAGTTATACCCTGGTAAATATATGTTTATCTACATATCATAATTTTATTTCTTCCTTGATTTAAAGCAATGTTACATGTATTATACAAAGATCTCATCGAACTTGTATTTGTTAGTTACCAGTAGCGCCACCTTTTGGTGGCCCTGATAACCCAAGTCCTGCAATAAAGACATTTAAAACAACGATTATAAGCATGATAAACATGCTGATCTCGTCACATCTTTCTACAGTCATACACGAGGAGCAAGAACAAGTCACTCCACTTGCCTTTTCTGATATGGCGCCCGAAGATGGCGTACCTGGCAGACTTGAGGACTTTTTGTGAGACATATCAGCTTCTCTTTCTTTTCTCCATCTATGAATCATAAGCATTCCAAACCCGATGTGAAATGAAAGTGAAAACCCGATCATCAATAATAATGGAATGTAATAACTGCTCTCTGAACCTCCGTCCAACACAGCGCGGAGCTGGGAAACATTTGCGGCCAACAGTGAAGCGTCACACAATTGTCTAACAAAGTTCTGTCTGTCCGCAAATGGACTTTTGGAAGACGAGGTTTGCTGTTGTCCATCAACTTCCTGGAAATTTTAAGAATGTTTTAAATTGAAAAACAAAATAACATTCAATCAATCAATGAAATGTAACTAATTATTTAAAAATACTTATCAATGTAATAGAATATTGAATATATAGAGTTTTTGGTTTACAAGAATTGGTGTACATCAAAGCACGTGGTCATGCCTTTGAGAAAATCTGTCAGTTTTGTCACACTGTATATGTAAAAAAAAAATTACGTCTTTTAAACTTACATCTCTACTTAGAACAGGTTCTATGAATCTGAAATCTACATCGTCCCCTGAGTCGTTCGCTGTAGGTATCTGAAACAAATTGCACCCGGAACTGTATTTGAATCAATTATAGTCAGATATTATTGACCTCTTACTTATTCCGTGGTATTTGAAATACGTATTCTTAATCAAAAGAGCCGGTAAATGAGAAGAAATCAACTCACAGGTAAAGTATCTGGTCGTCTGCTTGACGTGAGGTCTTCCCTTTCTGTGCCTGCTTCTCCGTCAGCCATGATGTCAATTTCTACACTATCTTTGTTTAGACTGCTCGGCATTTTAGAAAGCTGTGAACAATTACCCTTCCTTCTCTGTGTTTTATACTATTCAAGTACTCAAGATGGGGAAATACATTTTATTCCGTTACAGGAAAATCCATGCTTGACCTATGGTATGACATATTGGTGTCAATTGACATGAGCATAATCAGTTTGTGAAAATTGTTTCTATTCCTGCTAATTTGGGTTATTTTTTCAAAGTCACTTTGTATTTTCTAGTCTCATCTTGTTTCTGTAAAAATATCCAATGTTTAGACATCAGCATACAATATATAGTGAAGCAAGAGCGTTTTGTATTTGAACAATACAGGATTGAAATGTTTATAATAAACGTTTTGTTAGTTGAAATTTTATGATACGTTCAAGATGCGCTCATTTGAGATCAATGGTTGATGGGATTTGGGAACCGATTTTTTTTATGAATATATATTTGCTTGTGTAATGTTAACTATGTTTAAAAATCTGATTGATCATAGAGTCTTTGTGGACAGATGCTTTCTGGTGCATTTCATTATTTTATATAGATAAAGTGATAAACGGGATGGCTACATTCCTTTTTGTTATAAAAAACCTTGATATGTAGAAATGAGTAAAAAGCATAAGTATGACAATAATATAGTAAATCAATATAAGAACTATCCTAGTGGTGTGCATATAATCCCGCACATTCAATGAAAATATTAGTAGATATTATATTTATCATGTAGTTATATCATGATAATTAATTAATTTTTCCACTTCATCAAAGGAAATACCGCTTGTGACGTTCAGGCCAAACATCGTTTTATCAATGATATTTTTATCAATAGATATATGTCCTTGTATATTCAGAATGTTTGTTACTCCTTTTGCAAAATGTAAGATATCAATTTTTATGTCATAATCAAAGGAAAAACTCAGGCGACCCTTTTCCCCATAGCCAAGATACCCTCATGTACACTGTATCAATATTCTTAGGTAGAAGCTTTGCTGTTTTCTCTTCGTAGCATTTGTTGTAAAAACTATGGTCTGCAAATATTTAAACGCATTGAAAAATATCTGTTTTTGCAAGGATTAAAATGCATTTCTCTAAATTCTGCACAACCCCAAAACACTTAAAGAGTCCTGAATTCAACATTTATTTTTTATTTATCACTTATTCATCTGAAACAAAATAATGTATATTGATGCTTTATTCAACTACATTTGATGCCAAAAATACAATAACATGTGTATACAGTAACAATGTACAAATAATTCTTTTTCGTATAATTAATTGTCCAGAATTCCTTGATTCCACACTATTTTCACTTCCCTCATCAATAACGATCTCGGTAATTTTCTTCTTCATTCGCAGACGTATCTCCAAGACAACATAAGTGACTAAGGAAAGGGCACCAAGTGCAAACATCATATATAGCCTATATATATATATATATATATGAAAAGGGTGAAGATAACAGTGATGGATCTGAAAAAAAAATCTATAAACAATATATATCTTTGACGAGGGCATTAAAAACAACCAGTGGAAATTCCAGAGGTGGATGGGGTGGATCAAGTGCCAAGGAGAATATACATCCCCTGTTGATCGGTCATACCCGCCGTGAAAAGATGCTGTAATGTTAAAGCTCAATGAATCTTATGCACCTTCTCGTTTTGAAAATTTTTTATTATTTGTAAATTCAAAAAGTTTCAGGGGCATTAACTCATTGAAGATGTCACCGAATACTTTCGCAATGAATAGATTCCAGAGTCCTCTCAAGTAGTCAAAGACATAAGTGAAGGTTTCATTCTTCTATGGTTTACGGTTTCAGAGGAGTAGCGATAACAAGCATTTCTTGCGGAAGGGGCAATAACTTCGAAAGCGGTCATAGTTCATACGCGTTGGGTCAAATTTGTTCCTAACTTTTAATGACCTTTACGATGAACAGAAAGTCTTTTCGATAAATGTCGAAACAAAAAATCAGCGGAAGAAAAATAAAGAAGAAGAATAATAAGAAACAGAAGAAAATCAATAGGTCTTTCCACAGAAAGGTGGAAAGATCTAATAATAAACAGAAGAAAACCAATAGGTCTTTCCACAGAAAGGTGGAAAGACCTAATTACCCTCAACACAGACGTAGAGCATTATAACATGTACATATAATGGAATTGAACTGATTATGAATATAGCAATGATAATGATAAACATGATAGACATTGAATGTGATATATGTGTGTAAGTCCGGTCGGACGGATATCACCTCTGTCTTAATGTTCTCATTTTCTTGATATGGAAAGACATTATAAGAATCAGAGGCAAAAAGTAAATATAAGAAAATAGTACTAAGTCTGTGAGAAAACTATTTACACGTGTAACAATATTTGTGATTTCCAAATGTATAACCATACCATAAGCAATTGCCATAATCGCACTCAGTACCCAAATATAAATGGAAATCCTTACAGCCTTGGCCATATTCCTATTAAAAGAAAACAAATTGAAACTGTTTACAAAAGGTTGTTAAATATTCGTCTCTGAAATACTACAGTATATTTTGTTTGTAAATCAAGGTTTAATTTTTCTTTCTTATGCACATGTTCCATACATAGCAAATGTTTTGAAATGATTTACTCTATGTTCGTGACGTCACATAGTGAAAATTACGTCAATTGGTGGCATGTTATAAATCAGTTGACTTGTTACAAAAAATGATTGAATCTGTTTTACTCCGGCAAGGAATGGCTGTAAAGGAATGCCTTGAAATTACTTTGCAGTAGTACTTAATAATTTGTACAAGTTTTACAAAGGATATGGAGATAACAAACAGTATTCAATATCAAAGTCCAAAAAAAACAATGCAAATAGGAGCAGAGCAAACACGGACCTCCAAAACATCAAAAGTGGGACCAGGTACCATAGAGGAGTGAGCATTCTTTGACAACCGGTCACACCAGCCGTGTGTTTCTTGTCATTATCGGGAAGTAACGGAAAAATCCGTCGTCAATTCAGGGTATAAACAATGAAAAAATCAATTAGTTTGAAAAATGTCAGTCAGCATTTGACTTAAAGACCAAAGACTTTCTAAGAGTTCAATTATTAATTGGATTGACTGTTTTAGTGAAGTAAGGGAGGTGTTTTAAATTGATGTTTATTTTGTTCTCAAGTGAAAGCAGGCTTGGGAAGAGATGTGTCCTAAAGTTGAGCTTTTTTTTATATAAAAGATCGCCAAGTTAAAGTTAGAAAAATGGTAGAATACAATGTATCTTAATTAACAATAAAATAATAATTAATCC